CTCTGGGCCCCCGTAAATTCTTCATTCGTCCCTGCGGACAGAGGAGAAGAATAAGGAGACGACGTTTCTAATTTTTTGCATTACCAACATCACTTTTTGACCGCTTGTATCTCTGAAACGGCTGGACCAATTTAAATTTTTTTTGGCTTAAATTAGTCGTGGCGATGCCGCCTTTAAGGATATACTATGTGTTTTTATAAAATTTTTTATATTTTAGTTGCTACAAACCCCCGAAAAGTCGACTTTGTGCGCGCAGGATAAGAGACTTAGTAGTGTCATTTTCTGAACTTTGCCAGAGATTCTTTTCCTGACTTAGTAGTGTCGTTTTTTGAACTTGGCCGGAGACACTACCGCGTCTCCTGATAAGAATGAGTTATTGTGTTCCCTCTTTCCTACGCGTGCCGACTAGGTCTCGCACGTCATGCTCAATCTATCTATGTTATTATGTCTGTAGCTACTTTTGTGTAAAAAATGTGAATGCCATTATTAATTTCTCAGATACTAATAGATATATATAAATCACACGACACATCATTCAAGTGTTTTATAGATCATATGGTACATATTTGCACTTTCTATTTTTCAGCAATCGATATCTTTCTTTTCAAAATAATAAATGATTTAACATATAAATGTTAAAGGCAATGTTAACAGGCAATTAGATTGATATAAAAACATATATATGTTTACATATGGACTATTATGGGAACATGGATATTTTTGAGGACTTTTATAGTACGTACATACTATAAAAGTCCTCGAAAATACCCATCCATATAAAACAGTTAAAATATGCAAAATACAGTATAGTTCGCAATTATAGCTATAAGGTGATATTGCTGAGTTCAAATCGTATTAAAACATATAACAATTTCAATTTTATACATCTATGTTCCCATAATAGTCCATATATTGCGACGTGAACTAGCCTCGGAATCACGCCAGATCCGAGGGAGCACGCCCAATGGAAATCGGTACTCGAGGCATCGGCAATAACTGCTCGACTCGGTAACTTACGGTATCAGAAACAGATGCTTAATTCGGTAACTCGCGGTACTCCACGCTCGTCGGGAGCAAGGTAACTCGCGAAATCGGCAATAACTGCACGATTCGGTAACTCGCGGTACTCCACACAATTCGGGAGCAAGGTAACTCACGCGATAACGGTAACCGGGAATGGGCGCCAGGTGCGAATAATCGCACCGCGGTATCGGTAACTTTAATAGTTCTCAAAATTTGCTCGGCCGCTCCCCGCTCAGTATGGCAGAGGGGCGCAGTCCTTTTACTTAACGTAGATATCTGGAGTGAGAGGTGAACACAAGGACAACTCAATCATTAATATTTAACCAATAAT